AAAAATGTAATATTAATAATAAAATATTTAAAATTATTCATTTCGACAGTAATAAGATGTCGAAATAATTCCTTAAAAATCTATTCCGAAGACGAATTTCGAATTCGGTATAAATTTTCTAAATATGAATTTGTTCATATTTTAAATCGTATTGGCGACGAAATTAAATATCGAAATGCAAAGGAATTGTCATTAATTGCCGAACAATGATTTTGACGGCCTTAAGCTTTCGGAATATAGCTGACGACCATTTCTGACGTCACGAAGAAATAACCCGATTGGCCGAACGACTCCTAAAACAGGGGAGTAATAGCGAAGTAAGTAAGAGCCAATGTTTTGCCGAAGTTCGTTTAGAGAACGGTCAGAAATAGACGATCGTCGTCTTTGCAATGCATTTTAAACTGCGGTTCAGCCAGCCAACGACTATAGGCCGTTCGTTGATAAACGTCGTTTAATGTAAACTCTGTCTATGCAATCGGCCGTAAAGGTTAAAGCTAACTAACTTATCCAACCTAAGGCTGGGTGGTCGACCAGTTATGGCGTCACCTTATAGTTCTGGGGGATCTGGACGAGTCGAAAAACCCTAGAAAATTTTCTGGCGTTGTCTCTATTCCATGTTATGCCCGTTCATCATTACCGGCCGCCCATTTGATTGCTTGGCAGAGCCCACGATGACTTCTTGACTCTTTCCCACATCATGAAAATGAGTCAAGAAAAATCCTATCGAACCTACAAAGTAATTACTTAACATAGCCGAGAAATAACAGTGATTTTCGGAAAGTTGGCGCAGTTGAAAAAAATTTTAAAATATTATTGATGAAATTGCGGATTCACATCCGCAATTTTCTAGCCTAACAAATTAATTTAAAAAACACAGATGCAACGGGATGGAAGAACACTATAAATAAGATGACACAAGCATAATCTTAGATACATTAATTAACCTATCGTTCTGGGATCCAGGATCTAATCCGGGCGAGTCATTCCACCAATATTTTAGGCTGGTAAGTTCTGGATATGCCGGGTTTCCGTCCCTTACCACAAGATACGCTTCCATCGTGGATTCGGCCAAATCCACATGCATTAAGAGTGCCTCTTTTTGAGAGCCCATTACGGGTTCTGTCAAGTCTGCAATGGAGCGCCTTAAAGAAAATGTCTCCTTTATTGCCCATAAGGCGAAAAAAGTAAAATAATAATAATAATATCCAATTTAATTATTTTAAATATTTATAAAATATTAATTAATTTGAATTTTACATTAATAAATAATAAAATTAATTTCAAAATTATATTTTGTTATGCCTGGTTTTTCCCTACAGGTGTCGTCGTGACTCATGGACGACCTGAGTTAAAAGTTCGTGTTTTTTCGAGTATAATTACATAAAATAAAATCAAAAAACAGCAATGATGTCTTCTATATTGGGCAGAAATTTCTTAAGGATTTCTAATGTTCTGTCTTCTGCAAATTTTTTCAATAGAGTAACAAATGCGTATCTTCATAGAAGTCACGTTGTCCTTGGTATGGTCTGTTTCCATAATAACCTAATTTATTTGTGTTTTTTACTTAAAACACAATTGCATATGTTACAGGGTGGATGTCTCGTAAGTCTAGCCCCATGGGAGTTACGTTGATGTTTGTTTATTCTTTTGCAGGTGATGACAGTGAGTAAGAAGGAACTAATTCATGTTATTTTGATGATGAGGACTTTGGTCAACATGAATTCAATGAAGAGTTTAAAGGACTTTATCCAGATCATTGTATGTGATTGCTGGGAAGTCTGGATTTAACCCTTTAAACTGGGGGTTGCAAAACTGGCAGCCCATAGTCAGGATAAAGCTTGTTAGGGCTTCTTATCCAGCCCGAGACCTCGATGGTTTCTTCTCTAAAAATCAATGTATGTGATATTTTGAGGGATTAAAACAGAAAAAATTCAAACTTCTAACCGTTTACGTAAGTTGTAAAGGCCCGGCAATGAAAAGGTGCCTTTCTTACAGCTTTTTTTTAGTTTATGGTATGTTTTGGTTTATCAAATAATAATGAATATGGCCCATAATGTGATATGTGTCTATTTGACTGGCCCTTTGCTGCATTTGAGTTTCAGATTCCTGCTTTAAACTCTATTTCTCATCGTCAAAATAATTTGAATTTTTTGTTCTTTCTTGACAGTGTCCTTTGTCTGTATAAGAATGTGCAAATGCCTGCGTAACTCCTATAGAGCCTGACATATGAGACACCCTATATATTGTAATATACATTGCACATGATATTTATTTAGCATATGTAATATATGTACATGTATGTGTTTGTGTGTACATTGCTGCAGATACTTAAAATAAATGCAATATATTTACGAGGGTGGTTTTTTTCAAGCTCCGATGATCCATAAAACAAAGACAAGTGTAAATAACAAAATGAATTTATTACCAAAAGTTAGGTACAAACATTGTTACTTTTGACATAATCACTGTGAAGACTGAGGCATTTGTCATATCTGTGGATGAGCTTTTCCATCCCCTTGTCACAGAATATTGCTGTCAGTGAATTGAGATGGCCTTAACAACGTTGTTTTGAAGATCGTCATTAGTCTCAAACCTTTTCCTCGCTAGCCACGTTTTCAGTTCAGGAAAGAGGTGGAAGTCTTCACACATTAAAAAGTTCCAAGTTGGGTGGAAGTCTTCACCACCTTTAAACACAGCGTATAGCCCTGATTTAGTGCCAAGTGACTTCCATCTCTTTCCTGAACAGAAAAAGTGGCTAGGAGGGCAGAGGTTTGAGACTAATGACGATCTTGAAAACAACATTAGGGCCCATCTCAAGTCATTGGTGGCAACATTCTATGACAAGGGATGGAAAAGCTCATCCACAGATGTGAAAAATGCCTCAGTCTTCACAGTGATTATGTCAAAAAGTAACAATGTTTGTATGTAACTTTTGGTAATAAATTCATTTTGTTATTTACACTTGTCTTTGTTTTATGGACCATCAAAGCTTGAAAAAAACTGCCTATATATTTATTTATATTAGATTAGATGAAAAATACTCTACCAGTTGGTAAATATTATTTTTTCCTTTAACTTCTCATATTCATGTTTTTGATCATATTATTGATTGAATACATGACACGGTACTTAGTTTGAATTCATCATATAAATATTCTTTCTTTTCTTTAGATTACACTAACTTAAAAATAGGATATTTACTGTACTAACAAGTATTATGAATGCAATTCTCTGTAACTGAAATTATACAGTTTTGATTATAATCAGTTACTTATGTTTATGCTATATTATATATATGTTTCGTGTTATACATAAACACTCCCAATATTCCTTTTTCTAGTTTTCAACATTGTTACTTTAGAACTTCAGTATTAGTTCTGTTTAATTAATTTTATATTTATTATTCATTTTTTATTTATAATAATTTTGATTTGAAAATAAAATCAAATGAATTATTAATGAAGATTCATTAGTTTAAAAAACATTTTTTTTAAAAACTCCTTACATCAAGGTCACCTTCTTACTGGATCTTTATCTTTATGTAAGGTAAAATTTACAAACTTTCCTTGTTTAATACATAACCAATTTAAATATAAGTTTCTAGTAATAATATACTGAGTTATTTATATAAATAATTTACATTAGAAATTATAATTTCATATAACTGATATAAATATGAATTAATTCTTAGAAAACTTATTTGACCATATAAAAATATGTCATATGTTATAAGTAAATTATATATTAATATATTAGTAAGTTGAAACTATTTAATTTACATATGCCCTTAGTAAGATTAGCAATTTTTTTTATTCTATAAACAAGAGAAGTTTATAATTTTAAGAGAAATAAATAAATCTTTTATTAATTAAAAATGTTTTGTATTTTATAGGTGTAAAAGGAATAGAAATCAAAATGCCTTCGTTATCGCCAACTATGACTGAAGGAACAATTGTAAAATGGTTAAAAAAAGAAGGTGAGGACTAAATATGCATTTCGATATTAATATAATGATTATAAAGTTTTTCTACAGTCTACTTTATGTAGATCTCATTTTTAAAATAAAATATATCAGTGGCGTGCTGTGACATTTGATGATAGGGAAGCTGTGTTTCTGTAAGAAGCCGACATCCAGAGGCAATCAGTCAATTGCGCGTCAGTGATGGTCTAGAGTCCATTTGTATTGTTTATTCGATAAGCCAGTAAAAACCGTAGACTTCTCTAAATGCATTTTTAATATCACAATTACATTCCAAATCGCTAGCCATGATATAAGGGCTACAATTAAAAATAAAATAATAAAAACTTACTTGGCGAAATAAAATGTGTGATGGATGTACCAGTGCATACCTGGTACAAAATATTCTTCAATTGTACGAATATACTTTTAAAGAAAATTATAATTAAATATAGCTTTGTAAAGAAATGTACATAAAAATAATAAAATATTCTTTACTTTTATATCTTAAAACACTTAGTCAAATATCTCCCTACAAGTGGCTAATGGATGGAATCGAAGACGGTTGGTAGAGCGTGCATATGCGCGGACTGTCAAATCCCCAGGGTGCCAATACCGGTCAATGTCAAATACCTCTTTTGTCGCATCATTAGTATATCTCGAAGGACGCGACAGGGCTGTTGTAGATTTTAAACGTTTCTCACCATAGCTGTAAAAATCAAAATATGTTAAACTTAATAGTCATTTGTTTTCTAACTAATTCATTTTAGGACCAAGTGTCCTCAGAAATTTCCAAAATTTACAAGTTTTCGGTCACTCTCATTGAACTGGAAAAATTTCTGTCATTATTACATTAATAATACGAAGAAATTAGTTTCCACTGACTCGGCTAGAGATGGTTCAGTTAAGCTTTTGTTTAAGTAAAATTTTGGCTCTTTCGTCAGGGTTTTGTTTATGTCCCCAACCAATTCCCTAATCGCTTAATTATTTAACTACAGTACTTCTTAAGTAGAAATAAGTTGAAACCAGTTATTTTGTACTCAAATATTTGTAGTCTCAGGAAAAAAGTGGAAAGACAAATTTTTATGACAACGGATACAAAAATCGNTTCACAGCCCGGTACACGTATTTGTAAAATCTAAGTGACTCGTACAACATGGAATTCATATAAAACGGAATAATCAATGATCTTATACGAGGGTCGACTGTACTCATAAAGCTTCTCACCACACCGGGTTGTATAACAAAACACACACTCTATAACCAGTAACTACATGAAATATCTAAAACTGGCAAACGTTTTCAATGCCCCCTCCTGGGTTCTTCCTCAGGCTTAATTTGCATTTTCCGTTGGAACTGGATTCTATAATTCAAATGTTTTTAACCAGGAACGTGCTCTACATCCTAAAGCTCGAATATCTTTGTGTTTTTTTTTAACTACTGCATATTTTTTTTATTTAATTTATGATTAATGAAATAAACTATGAAGTTCAAATAATCATAATTTTTTGTAGATATGGTCAATGTAAAATTTCAAAAATTAAATTTCTAATAACCAAACACATTTTTCGTTGCTGAGAAAGTTTATTTAAAACAAACATTTTCGACCTATTCCATAGTCAATTTTTGTTTAGTTTTTGGCTAAGAATATTTTGACCAAGTAATAGTAATAGCTTAAATATGTTATCAAACCATAATTATTGATAAAACTCAAGATATATCTTATGTACATATATATGCAGGATGAGGCATTTAACCAGAAAAAGTGAAATATCTCCANTAGATATGGTCAATGTAAAATTTCAAAAATTAAATTTCTTAATAAATTTTATATTGGGTAATATTGTAGGATATAAACTTAGCTATACTAATTAAATACTGGTAAGAATCAATTTTTGTTTAGTTTTTGGCTAAGAATATTTTGACCAAGTAATAGTAATAGCTTAAATATGTTATCAAACCATAATTATTGATAAAACTCAAGATATATCTTATGTACATATATATGCAGGATGAGGCATTTAACCAGAAAAAGTGAAATATCTCCAAAATGAAGTGATGCAGAAGAATGTGTTTGTTTTGAAGGCAGATGGTTTGCTTATGTTTTATTTGAACACATTTTCTAGGTCATGTCAAAGTCTACTTATTACTTTCAAATAAAAACCTATATTTTTTTAGCACCAGCTGAATCTATGCAAAATAACAAATAACTTTTGCTAGAAAGATTTTTCTGTTTATTGCTTACTTTTGACAATATTTAAATTTTTAAAGGATGGCTAACAAATTTCTCTTTCCAAAGAAGAAATTAATACTTTTATTAGCAATACATACATAAAAATTCAATTTTAATGAGTAATTAATCTAACAAGTGTTCAAAATGATGACCTTTAACCTCAATACATTCAAAAAAAGATTGGTGACAAGCTAAAGGCATTTCTTCAGGAACTTTTTCACAAGCATTTCATTTGGAAAGAGAGATATTGTTAGCCTTCCTTTAAAATTTAAATGTCAAAAGTAAACAATAAACATTAACTTTACAGATCTAGCAAACATTTTTGGCACATTTTACAGGTCTGCTTCAGGTTATAAGCCATTCCAAAAATGAAGGAGTTACATTACTTCATCTTTGGAATGGCTTCTACTTGAAACAGGCCTGTAAAATGTGCTGGAAAGGTACAAAAGGTATTTGTATGATTATATATGTTTCATTTGAAAATAACAAGTTGACCTTGATGTGACTTTGAAAATATGATCAAAATAAATAAACCTGTTACCTCTTGTCTTCAAAACAAACATTTTATTTTAAACATTTTCCTCTGCAGCACTTCATTTTGGAGATATTTTACTTTTCCATGTTAAATGCCTTACCACTGTGTGTGTATTGTTTATAGTAATATCATTATAATATCATTACTACAAATAATTTATGTTTTTTATGCATTTACCTCTTCTTTTGCTGTAATTTTCATTGTACAGTGAAATATCAGTATAATATATGCCAATTTAATGAAATTTTTGGTATAATGACTATATCTTGAATCCCTCACAAATTTTCTATTCAGCTCAATTCAAAAATGTTTCATTGTTGAGAAATAAACTGTAGAGTAAAATATCAAATGTTTTGATGTTTTACTCTACAGTTTATTTCTTTTTAAGTTTACAAGAAAAAATGGAAAAAAATAAAAAAACAAAAGCAGTTTTCTTCAGAAGAGAATAATAAAATATTAGATAATGTGCAAAAAAGGAATTAAACAAAAAGATGTGTCTGACTGGAATTCTGTGTCATGGTACTGGATTTTATCAAAAAAACTTTGATTAAAGAAATAACACACAAAAATTCAACTTTATTTAGCAGAAATAACAATTACAGAGGCAGAATTCCAACTAATCAGTACTACTATATTGTTATTTTATTTGTTCGCTTGTGATATTTTTTTGATAATTTTTTATTACAGATTAATTTTTATTATAATTTAACATAACTTACATTCTTAAAACGTGAAATTCTTTTTGAATAGTAGAAATTTTGTCTACATAGTCAAGCCCAGAGTTTTCACATCACTTTGCAATAATCTTTACATTTTTTTAACTTAAAGACAATTCTTTGTAAATAATACTAGCTTTATATATTATTTAGCTAATTAATAATAATAAACAACTTTAAAATAGGCACATGACACTTAAAATCAATTATTCAGATATCATCTTGCTGTATAGTATCAGTTTAATCCTTAGTATCATAGTTTATAAATTATTTTATGATTTTGAAATTTCAGATTTTTCAGTAACAATTTCAGTATTAAAAAGTCAGTATTTACAAAATTCAGTATTACAATAAAACTCCAATTATCCAAATTAATTTGAACCTCGGGCCATCTGGATATGCGGAATATCCAGCTAATTGGAATTTTGTTTAAAATAGTCTTATTTTTTCCTATCTTTATTTATCTTAAATATATTTGAGTGAATGTATTTTGAAAACATTTAATTATTAGAATTTTTAGTAAGTAAATATTTGTTGTAGAATTAAGATATTAACGTGTTTTAATTGTCGTGCAAGTATACAATGAATGACTCTTCACTTTTCTTATTTTAATGGTGATGATAATATGCTTTGTAATAAATGTATTAATGTGATTTAATTTAGAAAGCATTAAAGTAAGTTATAAAGATAACTTATACTGTTTTAAGTGAAAAGCTGAGTAATTAAAGAGTATAAATAAAAACTAAATATTTTTAATGTATACATTTTAGATTCCAGAAGATACAAAGGATATTAAAATAGGAACTGTTATTGGTCTTATGGTTGAAGAAGGTCAAGATTGGAAAGACGTAGAAATACCAACAATTACTGAAACACCTATTCAAGAGAAGGTGTCAAGCCAAGAGAGATTACAAGAAACTCCAAAAAAGGTTCAGAAAACAAGGTTAGATATTATTTTAGTATAAAGAATTTCATTAGGAAATGGTTTGTAAATGAAAATTTTCATAATTATAACTAGAATGATGGGTCCAGCTGTAAAGACATTGTTAGAAAAATATAAAATCAATCCAGATGAAGTATCTTCTACAGGGCCACATGAAGTCCTACTGAAAGTGTAAGAAAGTTGTAACTGGTATTATATAATTTTTCTATTATTCAGCTCCAAGTATTATATAATTTTAGTTTACTATATTATTATTTTATATTTTTTTCATGTAGATGAATTTTTTTCTTTTTAATAGCGATGTAATGAACTATATTAGTAAATACCAAATTAAAGAAAAACCTATAGAAGTAATTGCTGAAAAACCTCTTTCTACACCATCTATACCATCTATCACACCTACAGATATTAGTGATTATATAGATATTCCACATACGAATATGAGAAGAACAATTGCTAAAAGACTAACAGAATCTAAGGTACAAAAATAATTTTAAATGCTTATAATCGTTATTTTGATTATACATTGTTTTAAAATTTAGTGTGTTTAACTACTTCATAAAATAATGCAATAACTTGTTATAAGTGTGTTCTGTGATTTTAATAAAGAATTTTGGTGTTTTTTTAAATGTTTTTTGCTTTTAAATTGGAAACGATATCTTGGTATTGATTCATGTTAATCGTTTTTAAGATTGACAGATGAAACACAAATATTTGATTTTAATTATCATTTAATTATTTTATAAAAACTGTAAAATATTTGAATTTAAGTTAAAAGTAATGGTATTTATTGTTTTATGTGAATTATAAGCTGAGGTTGTCCTGAATCAGGACAAAGACATCTCCTAATCAAATAAAGATTTAGCTTCCTGAATTAAGCATTTTAATATCAATAATTTAATATGCTGTTATTGACACAAATAAAACAATGAAATCTTAATATATTAATTGCTTTGCAAGAAGAAAATCATTTCAAGTACAGAAAATACCTGAACATAAATGATTTTTTTTTTCTTCAATTTGTGAATCTAAGTAGAATATAAAAAAGTATTATATGTTTTGAAATATATTCTCAAACATTTATTATTTTTAATGTATAATATTGCAAATTACCTTTTTCTTTTCCAGACAACAATACCTCATAGTTATATGTCTATATGTTCTTGTGTTGATGAAGTTATTCAGTTTAGAAAAGAATTAAAAAGTAATTTACATTTATTTTTAAACAAATATTTTAAAATTAAATGAATATAAGTTAAAGTATATTTAAATATATACTTAAAATATATTTAAAAAAGTATATATAAAAATCAAAATACAGTAGACCCCCTATAACGTGGGTTCCTATAACGGAGATTCCTATAACGTGGCAAAAAATTTGCGACAGTATTTGTATAAGGACGCTAAAAGGGACTAAAGTCGTCGCCGACTCGTGTTACGACAGGATTGGTCGAATCTGGACCAATAGTGGATGAGCAGCCGAACTACTTTCTGCCATCCAGCGCCATGCTACGGAGAGTTTAGGCGGGTAAATTGAGTTTACTATCATCTGTACAGTATTATATATAAATTAGATACTGTACATATAATTATATATTAACTTAATTTATATGTAACTTTATTATAATTATATATATACTTTCCGCCGTATAGCGCCATGCTACGGAGAGTTTAGGCGGGTAAGTTGAGTTTACTATCGTCTGTACAGTATGCAAATTAGGTACCGTAAGTCTAATACAGCACTGTAATTTTATATATTTCTTGTGAAAGAAACATTTCTTATTCAATGGCCATAAAAATTATTTATATTAATGATGTCTCCAAAGTTCAACGAATTTTTCGCAGAAAAATAACGTATCAGAAATTGCAGCCGCTGTTTGGTGCGCTGCTCCGCGATGAAAACAAGCTTAAGCAATGGCAACGTCGAACAGTGCACACTCGGTAAGTAATCCTACAATTTTTTGTTTATAGCATAGTTTATACGGATTATTCCCAAAAAATTATACGTGTTTTGGAAATGTTGAGTCAAATTAGTCTAGAATTGATTAATTTTATGGAAGAAAACCTTTCAAACAGCCGTAGTCCGTAAACTTCACACATGTCGGGCTGTGATTGGCTCATGTATTTAAGGATTCCTACAACGTGAAATTCTTATAACGTGTAATGTATCTACACGTTATAGGGGGTCTACTGTATAGTAAATTTTAGAATTTGCAATACAATAATTATTTGCTTAATTATTTCTGAAATATGATAAAATTCAATAGTTCAAACACTTGTAAAAATAATAAATTATTGTAAAGTCTAAAATAAAGACAAAAATCAGCAGTTTATAGTTGATAATCAAGAACAATACTACTACAAATTAAATTTTTTTTAATACATAATGCATATGGGTGGCAAAATTCAGGTGGCATTGAATGTAGCCAACAAGTTCAACCAATTACCCATTTTAATTGTCAAGATCAACAAAGGTGAGAAGAGCAGCAGTCATTGACATTGAATGTTACCTTAATTTTTCCACCGGTGAGCATCCACCTTTAATTCTCAGTAAATTTGCCAGATTTTAATGAATTCATTTTCTAAAAATATTATTAAAAATGAAAATTGTACATAAAATAAATTATGAAATTTTATTACAGTTTAGTAGCTCAATCTATTCATAACAATTAATTTAATTATTACATATATAAATTTTGTTTGCTTTAAAACCAAAATTATATTTAAATTATCGTAAGTATTACATAGGAAATAAAGTTAAACCTTTAACATGTTATAAAACATCTTTTCTAGATGATGGAATCGATGTCTCACTTAACGACTTTGTTATCAAAGCTGTTGCTTCTGCATTACATGTAAACATTTGTTTTTTTTTGTTTAAAAATTGTCTAATCTTATAAATTTATTGATAATTATACTGTTTTTTTATTTATTTATTAGAGTGTGCCAGAAGTGAATGTAATGTGGATGGGAGACAGAATTCAACAGTTATCAACTGTTGATATATCTGTTGCAGTGGCCACAAAAAATGGATTAATTACACCAATTGTTAAAGATGCAGATATATTGGGTATTCAAGAAATCTCACGGTCAATCAGGGTAAATGTTAATTAGTTCAAACTCTTTATTTACGTATCATAATTCTTTATAAAAAGAAGAAAAAAAAATTGTAATTAGTCCCACATCATTATTTAAATCAGTGGAGCTCTTCACTGATTTAAATTGCAAAATTATAAGACATTTTAAACAATAAATTTTTTTTATTCATATTATATCTCTTCTTTTTTAATTGGAAGTAAAATATGATGATAAATAAATACTGAAAAGTCTGGATAAACTGGATATTAAACTGAACCTTTTGATAACTCAGAAAATGATTTATAATCTGTAAATAATTGTGTATAATGAAATATCATAGTAAGAAATTAAAAATGAAATATTTTCATAAATATATTTCCCCACTTGATTAATTAATTAATTAATTTTATTTGAATTTGTCTAGCTGTTAAGTAGTATTAAGATTTGCAGTCGCATTCAGTTTTATTAGTATTAAGTAGATATAAGTCTTCCTACTAACAGCCACTGGCACTAACTTCTACACTTAGCTATTTGTGGCAGCACTCAATTATTGGTGTTTGCTATACTCAGGTTTTCTTTTAGACCCTTTGGGGGACTACAGCCTTGCAGCCTAAAAACTGCATGCCAACATCAAACATAGATGGTACTGTAGTCATATATATGCCGTTCAGAGGGATTCTACCTTTCTCTACTGTCTATCTCCTCTCCTCCTTCCCCTCTTTCCCTTACCCTCTTTTCTGCTGGATAAACGCCTTGTGTATGGCCAATGTCTTTCTTGTATGTATGTATGTATGTATGTATGTATGTATGTATTTATTTATTTATTTGGATTTGTAGTGACAAAGTAGATACTTTTCTGAATGAACCACACGAATATTGAATATTGACACTTGCTAATTTTTCCTAATTGTTTAATAGCAAATGCATTATATCACAAAATATAAGTTATACTGAAAGTTATATATGAGGGCTGTATATGGTCTGTTTATTTACAGTATGTCAAAAAATGTTTCCCTTGTAATGTTGAGTAAAAACTCCTGAATAACATATGTACACAACTGCTTTACATAATGAATGCAAAAATATAAAGTAGAAATTGTAGGTAATCACTGTATTAAAATAACTTTTCTAATCTCCATAAATCTAGAAAAGGTTGATTATTTTTTTAATTTGTAAGTGTAGATTCCTATGTCAAATAAAGAATCAGATCCTATAAAAAATTTGAATTGTGTAAATACTGCATAAGAAAAAGATTTGACAAACATTTTAGAAAATCACACTAAAATAATTAGAAGTAGAGTCCAATATTGGCTTTAACATTTTGAATTAACTAAAAATTAATTTATGCAGACAGATGGAAAGAAGTTATAATAAGTGACAAAAGAAAAAATTTATTCAAGTAACAGATAGAATTGTCAGAGTTTGGAGGCATATAGGAGAAGCCTTGAAAAAAAAATTTGTCAAAACTCTTAAACATGGAGCGGGTAGCAAATTCATTTGGGTCTGTACGTTTTGGAGAAATGTCGGAAATCTTGAATTTATCAACAGGATCACAAACAAAGAACTCACCTAAGATCTGGAAAAAGCATATTCCTCTATCAGTTTTTAAACTGTGTCTGGAAAGTATATTTTTTAACAAGACAGAGATCCCAAGCACACAGGTAACATTATTACATCCTAGTTCCAAAGAAAGACTAAAACACATACTTGCATCTACAGTCTCCAGATTTAAACCCAGTCAATATTAAACACTTGTCAATATTAAAGACAAAAATTGCGAAACAGCATCCTTCAAATTTTGTTCAACTTGAAGAAGTGGTTAAAGAAGAATGATCTAAAATTAATACAATGCAACTGCAAGATTAGTGCATCAACTCTTTTTGGCATGTATTCTAGTGGAATTCATGCCAAAAAAAGGTGCAAGGGGTTACATAAAATATTTATCTGTATCACTTTGTTTCAAACTCACAACAAGAAAAAATCATCAGAGTGTCATTATTTATTTGTTTTTGATAATTCTGTACTTGTTAAAAGCTTAAGCCCAATTTAAATCATGAACCATTAGAAAACTGCATTAATTTTTAATCTTTCAATTTTGCATCAATTCTTCCTAAAAAAATTATTGTATAAAAATCAATGATTATATTAAAAATAAAAATTCCCAAACTTTTAATTAAAAAATAACTTAATCTGTAAAAATTATGAATAATTCATGCACATTAAAGAAATTATTTTTGCTTAAATTTAATCAATAATGAATCAATATCAGCATTTATATTATTGCCAAATTGAAATTCCTTCTGAATTATTTAAATTATCATAGAATTATTAACTTTAAGTGTTCAAACTATAAAATTTATGTAAGAATTAACTTTAAATTAACTATTTGAATACAATAATGCAAGATAATTTTCTGTTTTCAACTTTTTAATCTGTTGTTGTTAACCAACTATCATCCTCATAATTTTTTTAAATACATTATTTTATCTGTTTTTATCTTCTCTAATATCTACTTTATGTGATTTTGATGAATTTATAGTTCATAATGTGAAAATAACATTTTTAAATACAATTCTCAGTAACATCAATTTGAATGTGTTTATATTTAGCGAGACAAAAATTAGTTTTTCCTTATCTATGTGTAACAATTCTATTTGTCATTTAAAAATATATTAAATTTGGTACTGATGAAAAGTAAAAGTTTTCAAAGTTTATTTTATCCATAATATTAACAAAATTAATTAATTTTATTTGTATTGTATAATTCTATAAATGAAATTTTATGTTGAAATTTTGGAAAACTTTTGACTTTTTTAAAAATTGTATACAAATTAATTTTGAATGTCAGTTAGATATTTTGCACTTGATATTTTCTCCTAATTAATTTTTTTTTGTTCTATTAACAACACATGAACCAAATTAGATGCAGAAGTTAGTAATTAATAATCAAAATTAGTTTTTTTAAATTTTGTTTTTACCAATCACATACAAACACAAATGGATGACCAAGTAGTTAAGGCATTGGTCTGCTATTCGGGGGAATTGGATCAAATCTGTTTCATGAAAACCCCAAGAAATTTTTCATTGGTGCCGGGCGATCTATTTAGATATGTACACCCTATCACCCAGTCCCATTGTGGCCTAGCCTTGTTCAGACACACTTACATTCGGACAATCAAGAAAGTAATTGCGCCTGCATCACTTCCTAATTGTGTAATTAGTAAATAGCACATTTTGATCATTTTCTGGTCAGAACAGAAAAGTTCTTCCAGATTTGCTAAAGAATATTAACTTCAGCATAGGGAAAAGCATATCAGTCAAACAGAAACTTCCAGAACGTGGGTAGAAAAATTGAGAAATAATAAAATAAGTATAGTTGATGAGGATCTGAATAGTTTCCATTAATTTTACATAGACTTAATAGCATTGTTCAACAACTTCAACAAAAGTAAACATTTATTAAAATTATAGAAAATCATTGATTGAGTCAATACTCCATTTAAGAAAGCAGTTAGAAAGTTAACATCTGCATTAATTTATTAAATTTCAAAGAAGTATATTAGCCATTTAATAAATCACAAAATTAATTTTCAGTGTGATATTAGAAAATCTGTGAACTGATCTAATAAATTCTTAGAGTAGCTATAGGAATATACAGGGTCTTTTAAAAAGAATGCTACCATTTTAAATTATTGTAATTATGTTAATTGTAATGTACATTAAAACATTTGAGAACTGTTCATGTTTTGCATTTGCCAATTGTAATTTCCCAATCTGTGCATTTTGTATTACACATCCAACTGGTACTCAGTTTTTCCAAATTCAATAAAGTATATTTGTTGTCATTCCTCTCACTGTAAGTATAGTTCTCCAGCTCCTGCATTTACTCATATTGCACAATGATGAGTGATTCCAACTGTGCAAACTACAGAACACAAAATGCTTTCTCTACTATGGAATTACCATTTCTGTTGCAGTTGAGAGATGAAACTTGGACAGTTATTCTAGTAATTGGTGTACATACTACTCGGATAATAATTAACCTAATNTAATAAAAATAGTATCTATTCAACAAGATGAGTAAATAAAATATTATGTTGAAGATTGAAAAACATTTTTTTTAATTAATTGAAATAACAGTGTCTATATTTTCTTTGAAAAAGTACAAATTTTAATATTTAATTATACTATTAATAAATTAGTAGTTTAATTAAATATTAAAACTATTAATTGATATAATTTAACAAATTAGTTTCTTTTTCAAAATTTAGAATGTTTTGGGAGGACTATAAATAAATTTTAAATTAGCAAACAATTCATATAAAAAGTTGGTCAAATTTTGCCTACGTGCACTGTTATGGCCATGGTTGTGACTGTTTGTGCTCCTGACTGACTCCTGCTAGAGGAGAGCCGCTGGCAGGCCCCCGAGTGTATGACGTCACTAGTTATTGATTCACAATAGTTCTTGAACACACATGTCAATAATTAGTGACTTTATACACTTGACAGCCTACCAGCGGCTCCCTCCGGGAGGAGCATGAACAGTTGCGGCCATGACTGTACACATAGGTAAAATTTAACCAAAAAGTTTTATCAATAAATTTAATTCTTGAAGATAGTCAGAAGAGTTATATCATTTCTAGTTTTGGTGATTTTTGTCCATAATTTCTAGAACAAAATCACCAAAACTATTCTACTATTCTGTCAACAAACTATTCTTTATAAATTGTGTAAAGTTTAGTCTTTTTTGTGAGAACCTAGTGTTGCGTCCCCTGAGCTAAACTTCACCACAGGTCTGTTGACAGGCAGATCTGTCCGCTGCTTGGATTACCAACAGAAAACATTGCATTATCAAAACAAAATGGTTAATAATAAAAATTACACCAAAGGATTAATAACAATTGCTATACAATAATTAGTTATGATATAATGATATGATACAATTTCTGTAGAACAAAGCCAATTTGCAGTACGTGTCTAGTGTAACTAGTATGCACTTTCTAGTCTGCCACTGTGCTTTTGTCAACTTTTACCCATTTGGTATGCTGACGTTAAAATTGTGGCATACCTGATTTACATATATATTCGTGATTCCTATACTTTCCTTTCCCGTAGGCATTAAACTTGAGACAAAAAAGGCCAGTTAAAGTTTATTTAGCAATTCAACTGTACTTTTGGCCTTCTTTGAGTTGTTTGACTATTCTGAGTGTTTGATAACAACATGATTAATTTTCAATGCATTCTCCAATGGATGGGCTGTGAATGGTAACGTGTCTTTTGAATTTTCAGTTTTTCAGTCGGAAGTGTGAAGTAGTTGCCTTAAACTAAACAAAATTTCCAAAATAAACATAATTTTTAAATAAGTAAAGTTAATTTTTGAATATTCATACTTGCGGTTTGTATTTGCTAGTTTATAGCTAATTTTAGGTAATTTAAAATTTTGATTGGTTCTAAAATAAAGTTAACATTTAAACATAACAAAAAATGAACAGTTATTTATTGTGACAATGTCACAATGCCAGGCTGCAATTTTTAATTATATTTTTAATGTATTTGATTTAAAATATGTGCTTACCCACCTGAAATTAGTAGTGGCTTGCCCCTGTACATCATACTTTTCCTTTAACAATAGAGTCGTGCCAGTCATCTATTAAATCCTTTCAGGTAAAAATTTTTAAATTGAAATAACGTGACTTCCATTTTTATTAACGTGAATTTTGCATCGGAAGTTCTTATGTAGCTAATTGGGGCCTCCTGCCCCTAAGGTTACCATATCTGGTCTCTCCTTTTACCTATTATTACAAGATGCATCATCATGTAAAGCTGGCTCTGCACATTCGGTATTTAGAATAGAATGTTCAGTTCTAAACGAACTATTTATCATCATCAAAAATTATAAACAGATAGCGTGATGATGATAAATTACATAACAAATATAGAAAGCTGAATATTAATCACGATTACATCATCTACATACTTGGTATTGGTTAAGTGTTTGCTTGGTATTTGCCATTCCCCATTCCTTCTTAGTGTATTGTGTCAAATCAAAGGGGATGAATAGGCAATTATTTGGTATTCAGCAAATACTGAATGTATGGAGCCAGCTTAACATGACAATATGCATTGTAATATACTGTATCTGTTATATAATTTATCATCATTGCTAACGATATCCATTTATGATATTTGATGACAATAAAATGTTCGTTTAGAAGAATGTTCTTAAAAACAATTAACATCAAATTATTAACTTGTAATATTTTTGGATCAATTAAGGTTAGTAAATGTGGCAATTTTAAAAATTTGACTCTTTAAAAAGGCTTTTCATAATTTAAATAAATTAATTTCTTATAATAAATCTGTGGTCTCTTAGCAAGATTTGAAAACAAATATGAATATTATTAAGGTTATTGCTACACCAGACAGCAAGAGTTCATTTTATTTAATTAACTTGGAAGATTATTTGATCTGCTCTAACTTAAATTCATAACACAATACACTTGCAATGATTAAGGGCCAGATTTGTATGCACACACATGCTTTTTCTTTAAATGCTACGATGTCAAAACCTCGACACAAACACAATTTGGGTCCAAGTAAGGTTCCCCGATAATGCATATTTTATAACTTTTACTGCATATTTTGCAGATTTGCCTCTTTCTGAGACTAAATAAGTGTTTTATAACTTTTACAGCTTGTTTGCATGATTGCAAGTAAGTCCCACAAATGAACACATTTTGCATTACCACGGAAATCTCTCATTTTTCATATTCTCTAATCCTTTAATCCCTTTGAATTAAGCAAAATAAAATTATTTTAATTGATATTTTATTAATTTAGTAACATTAAATTTAAAACTTTTAAAAAATTATGTAAATATAGCATTTCTCTCTCATATTTGATTAAATATGAGAGAGAATTTCCCATGAGTGAAGTAGTCAAACTTCCACACGTGAAGCGCTTGCAGAAAAGATGCAAGTCATATTGAGTTTGGTTAAACCAACAATACAGATACAGATGGTTTGTATATATGTAAAGCAGATTATCAATAGAATTGATGGGTAGATTGTGCAGTGGCATCAGATATAATGCCTTTAGATGCATTAGTCT